CTCATTGCTATCTGTTTATCAATAAAACTTTGAAAAAAAATAAAAAATAAATAAATAAATAATAATAAATAAAAGGTAACTATTCATCAGAAGGTTGAAACATAATGAAGGTATAATGTATAAAGCATGAGTTGGGGACATTCCCTATGGTAGAGAAGAATGTGGGGCTCTGAAAACAGACTTTCTCATTCAGATATTTTAAGCAATGTATAAAAAGGCAACTATTAACTTTGTTTTTTTATTATTATTCTTTTTTAAAAAATTTATTTATTTTATTTATGTGTGTGTGTGTGTGTGTGTGGCCAGCTCAGCCCACCAGGGGGCGGGGCAAAATAGGCAAACCTATTAGAGACCGAGTGTCCAAACTGTAACCTTAAACCTACTTATTTATCTAAAAGTGTCAACCCCAAATCTACTTATTTATCAAAAAAAGACCTGCATCCCAAGGTTTTAACAGACAAAAATCAGCTCAAGCGACTCGTGACAGAATCGCAAGGGGCTCTGCCAGCCCACTGCAGCACGTGTGCCACAGTTGGCCACCACTGGCTGTGTCTTCATTTTCTCAGGGTAGGACAAGGCATTTACGATAAAACAATATTAAAGAATAAAGGTGGAGAAAAGTCAGGTCTGTCACCAAAATGTCAACAATGGTTATCACCAGATGGTAGCTTTCTTGGTGAGTTTTACCTACTACCTACTTCCTAACTTTTGGACAAGAAACAGTGTCATGTACGTAACACAAATAAAAGCTATATTTTATTTAACTTTTTATGTCAAAAAAATCAATGAATAATTAAGATAGAGAATTCATCTGAGCACAAAAACGCACGCCAGTAACCTCAGCTACTTGGCAGGCTGAGGCAAAAGGACTGCAACTTAACCTAGCACGGGTTTAACCGCCAGTACCCAGACCAAAAAAATAAAGTAAAAAGCTTTATAATGAATGGCAGTTAAACAAACGAGAATGAACGGCTAGTTTCTTCAGCGGGGAGACATGACATATTAGAAAATAATTGTAAAGGAAGATGAATCTGAGTAATTTATGACAGACTAACAGGACTGGGAAGAAAGGAAAAAATTAAAACTGGGAAGGAAACGACCCCTCTGCCAGCAGTGAGGCAGGTGAAAATTGCTGAGGTAATCTGGATCTTAAGGACCTAGTCTGTTCCAACCTGTCTAGGAGACCCCAAAAGGAGAGAAACAACACTCACTAACCTGAGAAAATATCCTAGATTCATGGCAACGCAGGCCATTCCCCGCAGATTTTAGCTGTACTGGACGGCGACTATCACTACCGCACAGGTAACGCCTGCCAGCCCAGTCTTCCGGCTCCTCACCTCAGCATCTCACACACACACCAACTCCCTTTGGCGGCAGCCATTTTCCCTCGCCTCCCGAACTCAGGAAGCTCTTTACCATTCTTTATCTCTATTGGCTCCTTAGGAAGTTTGCTGTACTCTCCCCGCCCCCACGAGCCTGATTTGTGTTTCAATTGGTTACTTCTGGCAGCTTCCCACGGCCTTCTAACCAATAGACTCTGCCTGGGCGTAGACACGCCCGCCTCTGTGCTCAGGGCCCCGCCCCGATGGGCGGCACCGTAGTGGCTCCGCGGGAAGGGGTGTGGCCTATATAATGGACAGTTGCCCCTCCCGCCCTCGGCCCCGCCCCCACTGGAAGACCCGCTTGGGTGCCCCCACCCCGACCACAGAGCCCACTGCCCAGAAGAAATCCAATGGGCGGTCCCTGCGGGGTGCGGATCGATCTCCTGGGGGCAGAGTCCATTCCTGGAGCCTGTGCTGCCCGTGGCGTCCCATTTTCTGGCGCGGAGTCCCAAAGCGGGCTGCGCGGGCGCCACGCCGAGTCCTCTGCGGGCGGTGGGGGAGCCCTGGGATCTGCGCTCGCCGCTGCCCGTCGTCCCTGCCCGGCGCACGACCGAGATCCAAAGGCCGGGTCCCGAGCGCCTCGGCCTGAGGTGGCGGAGACCCGGAGGCAGTGCCGGCTGGTGGGGGTGAGGGTCCGGGCCCGCGCGCCCCTCGCGCCCTCACTGTCCCCACGGCTGGGGCGCGGCGCCGCGCAACCTTGAACCCGCAAGGGTGCCCTGGTCCGAAGCCAGAGGGCTTGTTGGAGACCCCTATCGGGTTGGAGTCAACCGGACCGATGCCCACGCAACTGTTCTCCTTCCAGGATTTTAGCATCGCGCTGCTCCGCCCCGCTCCTCGCACGCGGTGACCTTTGGGCTCTGGGCCGATCAGAGAGTGGGAGAAAAAAAAAAAAAAATCCACCCACAAGCTGGTGTTTTCTGGGGATGATGCCTGAGCAGGAGAGGCAGGTTACAGCCGGAGAAGAGGCCAGTCGGAAAGTGAGTTTCTTCCCGCGCGTACTGCGCGCAGATCGCGGGGGTTCTCTCTGCCTGCCGCCTGGACTCGCTCCCGGGCGCGGACTCCGCAGAGCGCGGCCGGGGCGCGGCGGTCGGGGCGAGGCTCTCCAGAAAGGCGCGCCGGTCACAGGTGTCCAAGAACAGGGGCGACGCAGAGCTTCGCCGCTCATCCTTTCGCCGTTAAAGGGCAAAGTGAACGTGGAGTCCGGTGTAAGGACCTCAGAGCCTTAACTGTTCAAAAGTAATTCCCAGAGGAAGTTAGGGTCTGGTGACTGTATTTCTTTATGGTCTATATTCAAGTCCCGAAATTTTAAAAATAACCATTGAACGAGCTTTAGTTATATCTACTACATTAATGTGGTCACTTAACGCAAACAGTACAAAAATAGCATGAAAAGCAGTATTTTGAGTTCCTTTCCTAATATATGAGTGTCTTCATTCAGCAAGTATTTATTGAAAACCTATGTTTTAGGCAAGGTATTGGAAGTTGATAAAGTGCTTAACATGGTATGTGTACACACAGAGAAATCTTTAGTTTTTTTGTATGTGTCTTTTATTTTATTTTTTAATAGCCTGGTATGGTGGCGCATGCCTGTAATGCCAGCACTGGGGAAGCTGAGGCAGGAGGATCCTTGAGAGTTGGAGAACAGCCAGGGAAACAAAGTGAATTCAAGGCCAGCCTGAACTGTGTAGTGATACCCTCTCAAAAAGAAAAAAAAAAAAAAAAAAGGCATAAAAATCATATGCTGTATATTTTCCAATTAATATATTTTTGATATTGTTTCACTATTTGCCTTACGCAATTTAATCTCTCTACATAGGACTGATGCACTAGAATTTGTTCCTCTACCATGGACATTCTGGTTGGTGCTGCTGTTCTTTTTTCTCTTTCTCAGAAGATTTTTTTTTTTTTTTTTTTTGAGACAGCTACTGGCTATGTAGCCCAGGCCGGCTTTGAATTCACTCCGGCTATCCCAAACTGGAGGCCATCATCCTACCTCAGCCTCCCTAGTGCTGGTATTACAAGCACACATCACCATGCCCCTGTTGGACCTGATCTCTGTGCTTCATTTTTAATGCCAAAGCTGGAATATTTCTTTAGGATACACAGCTAGGCTAGGCCTGGACTGAAGAATTGGCTGATTCTTTTCCATACACCTCTGATATTAATTAATTCAGTGATACAAGTATTATCAAGTGCCCTTCAGTGAAATAATGTCTGGGTTCTGGTGGTTTGGAAATGATAGATAAGTGGATTAATCAATAGGCAGAGAGGCTGGTTGGTAGATGATCCTTCACCATATAAAGGCTGCATTTGATCAGAGGTGTGGGGAGGAGTGGCTGGTACAAAGGAAGGGACACTTCCAACCGTGATAAATGCCCAGCTGGAGAGAAAAATCCTTATCCTTCTAGATCAGGCACAAGACCTAGAGCCTCTCAGAAACCTGTAACTGCCCTGGCACGTGTTGACCTCACCCTCTTCTGGATTTCTTGATAATAGCTGTAGCCATTGTTGTAGAACTTACTATGTGCTAGGCATTGTATTAAGCCCTTTATACCCTCTGTGGACTCTCTTTGCTTCGGTCCTCACAACCCCCACCCCTTTGGCGCTGCTGGGGTCTTGTGCTCATGTGCTGTACCACTGAGCCTTAAAAACCCTTGATGTGGGGTGATTTTGTTTGGTTGGTTATTTGTTCTAGTGATTGAACTGTGGCCTTGGACATACTAAACACACATTAAGTGTCACCCACAGCTCTGATGGAGGTATTATTATTCTGTGTCACCATTTGTTGAACAAATATTTCTTGAGTACTATGACAGGAATCCTAGGCACTAGGGATCCAGCTAAGTCAGTGACTGCCCTCATGGAGTTTATATCCTAGTAGACAATATGAGGTTGGGGGGGGTGGGGAGGGTGTTATGGTTTGTGTCTAGTTGTCCCCCCAAAGCCTCATGCAGTCATAGGGTGGGGACGTCTAGAGTTTGTGATTAACTCATGATCCACTGGATTATGTGTGATCCAAGGCTGGGATTATGGGATTTAGTACTGCTGGGATTATGGGTGTGAGTACTTCCTCTAACCTGGGGTAGAGAGCCTAAATGTAATATAAGAAACAGAGAGAGACTTTCTGTAGCCATTGCTCTTTGTTGTTGCTGTTGTTGTTGCTCTTTGGCTGCCATGAAGTGCTGCTCTCTGCCATGTGCCACTCTGTCTTGGAGCCAGCTGAATATGAACTGAAACCTCCAGTAACTGAGCTAAACCTTTCCCTCCTTCACTTTGGCTGTCGGGTATTTGTCCCATCAACGATAGAAGAGTAACTAAGACAGAATTTGGTACTGGAGGAGTTGGGGTGATTGCTGTGGCTAAACCTGACCATGTGGATTACAAGTTTTGGGGAATGGTTTATGGGAAGAGATAGGAAAGGTTTGAAGATGTTGCCCACTTGGGAAGAGCTGGAACAGCTACGGCTGTACTGTGTGGGAGATTCTGGTCAGAGTTCAGAAGACCAGAAGGCTGATGGAAAGCCGGCCTATGAAATCCAGGCTGGGGAGGTTTCTGCTAGGAAGAAAGGCCTCATTGGTTGTTGGGCTCCGGACAATCACTGTTACAGTTTGGCGGGAGCTTTGGCTGCATTTTGCTCATGTCCAGAGACTGCCTGAGACTGAGTTTAAGCATGGCAGACTGATCAATCTGGCAAAAGATATTTCAAAGCAGCCAAATATTGAGGCAGTGGCCTGGTTGTTACTGAGGGCTTTTACCCAGATTTATGATGAGAATGAAGAGCAAGGAGCCCAGCAGGATGGTTCAAAATGTTGTGAGTTTGGCCAGAAAGAAAGCGCCAAGAAAGCTGTGGTCTGCAAAGATGGAGCTGAGAGGATCTCCATTGCGGGAAAGAAACCAGAGAGTGGAAAGGATGGCCTGAGGGAATCACCAGAGGTGGCAGGTCTCCACCCTTTGCAGCCTCAGAACTACAAAGGTCAGGGACTTTGCCTTGAGGGGAAAGCTGCTGAGCCCCAGGTTCCAGAATGGCAGCGGCAAGGAGAATTTATTCCTCAGAATCAGGGTCAGAGTGCTCAGCCATGGGGCACTTAACCCCCAGAGCCAAGAGAGGAGAAAGCCTGGCTACTGCTTCAGCTGGAGGCAGACATTGGCATCATCCACGTGGCGTTGGTTTTAGGAGCATTCAGAATGCAGGAGTTCTGAGGTTAAGTCAGTAAGTGCCCTCATGGAGTTTATATCCTAGTAGAAAATCAGGAGGGGGGGAAGGTAAATGATTAAATAGTGTTATTTCAGGTATTGGTAAATGCTGTGAAGAAAATAAGCAGGATAGGTGCATGGGTGGGAAGGAAGGTTCCATTTTAAGTGCCTGGTCAGAGAGTGCTTCTAGGGGAGGTGACATTAGAGTAAAGACCTGAATGATTCAGTTTCCTGGGGGAGTTGTCTGGGTTGGGATACACAGACCCTCGAAGTCCTAAAGTAGAAATGTGATAATGTAAATTACACGTGATCTTTGTCCTATGTTTCAGATATAGCTAAAGGCCTTGGAATTTTCTGAGTGATAGAGCATTATTTTGTTGTTCATAATAAGCTCTGTTTAACATATCTGAAGTTTCTGTAGTGAGGTGGCCTTTGATGGGCTGCTAGTAACTTTTAAGTTGGGTGTAGTTGCTTGAGGGACCACCATGTGATTAGATAATTGGAACTTTCTGCCCCACCCTCCAACCTCTGGAGAGGAGATGAGTTAATCACTTGTGACCATTGATTTAATCAGTCATGCCTAGGGACTGGAACCTCCATAAAAACCCTGAGCATGGGGTTTGGAGAATGTCCAGCTGGTAAATACATGGACAGAATGGCTTTTGTGCGTGGAGAGCGTGTGGGATCTCTGCACACCTCTCCTTGTCCCTTGCCTTATGCATCTCTTCCATTTGTTGTTTCTGAGTTATGTCCTTTAGAATGAACTGGTAAACTGGGCATGATGGCACAGGCCTGTCATCCTAGCACTCTGGAGGGCTGAGGCAAAAGGAGCACAAGTTGAAACCAAAAAATTTTGTCTCAGATACATAGATAGGGATGTCGCTCATTGTGGAGGACCTGGGTATTCATTCCACAGTACTGCAAAAACCAAACCACACCACTCCACACCATCCTGGTAATACTGTGTAAAATGCTTTCTTGAATTCTGTTTGCCGTTCTAGTAAAGTATTCACTGGAAAGTTGTGGACAGGGCCTGGCTTTATAGCCAGTCATTCAGAAATTTAGATGCCCCAGATTTGATGACGGTGTCAGAAGGAGGGGGAGTCTTTATGGGACTGAGCTCTCACCCACAGGGCTTACCCACTCTCTGCTAACTCCAGCTAGTGTTGGAACTGAATTGGATTATCGGGTAGTCAGTCATTGCCTGGAAGGTTAGAGAATTGTGGATGTGAAGAAACACTGCACCTATTTTGCTTTGAGTGTTCTGATAAGAAATAGTACAGAAGGAATGACCTTAGTGTTTGCAGAACAGTAAAAAAGTCAGTGGCTAGAGCAGAAAGAGAAGATAAAGTGGTAAAACGAAAGGTCGGAATTCATCATTTTACAGATAGGGAAGCTGAGGCAGGAGTTAATTAACTTGCCCAAGGTGTCTTGCTAGTAAGAGACAGACCTGTGATTGAGCCCTGGCGGTGCTGCTCTTCTGTTCTTAGGAAGATATTACCTTCCAAACTTCCTTCATACTTGCTCATACCACCTGGTATTATTGTATAAAATAATGAACATAGCTCATCTTTTTTTTTTTAGAAAGTTTATTTTCTTAATTTACTATCTAGTCTCAACAATAAGTTAGTTTCTTATAAATGTGAAGTAAGATTAACATATGCATGCATGTGTTGTTGTTTTACAAGTCTTTTCATAGCCTAAAAGTCAATAATTTGTACAGGTAGTGCAATCTCCCTAGGGTTTTTTTTTTTTTCTTCTTTTCTTCTTTTTCCTAACTTGG